ATAAGTTTGCAGAACATCTGGACAAAAATCCACATGCAGACTTTTCTTAAAGCAGATTTGATGTGGCGAACGCTAGAAACTCAAGAGGTGTCACTGATGGATCAAAAACAGCAAAGAATTAGCAAATAATCAACCATCTTGTTCTACCTTTAATAAATAAAGAATTCGACTGGCTGTTAGACATAAACTTCTAAAATGACAAAGCAGGAACACACACGTGCTACAGTTCAGTGAGTTTTTGTTCATTCTCTGAAGATTAGGGGAAAAAAATCTGAGGGGAAAATCAATCAAGAGCTGCAACAAAGACGATAAATGGGGCATCCAGTGTGCAGGTGTAAGAGGATCAGATGATTTCCCACAAACAGTTGAACCAAAATTAAAATCCCATTTGTTTGTAGGACATCAAACACCAACGTACTGGGTCAATTCACTGTCTGGTTTTGCAAAGAAGTTTAACCTGAACTCTACTGGAGCACAGGAAGAACAACTGGGAAATCATTTCTTGTGTGGTTTTCTGTGCCACTGAAGTACCATTTTGTGTGCAATAGACTCCGAGTTTGGACTGGTAGCTCTTCAGAGACCGCTGATGTTTTCTTAGTGGACGTTTAGACGCTCGTTTTGGTTTTTTTTTCCCTCTGCATCGAGGCTATTTACAGTCAGGGGGAAGCAACCTGGGATGTCATAAGAAAAATGCACATCTCAATGGGATTACATGACGAAGGTGCCACGAGGGGAAACAAAGCGGTTATCTGTTGTTTAAACTCTGCAGCGTTACTGGGTTGGGCCTCGGTTATAAATGTCAGAACACCAAAGCGTCCTTCCAGCGAGGCTTCTTTCATCTGACAGTAAAGATAAGGTTGTCGACTGATCTCGCCAAACGATGGATGCAGAGGAGTTGATTGAATCCATCATCAGAGCGCTCATGTTTATAGCAGGGATCCTGGGAAACAGCTGGCTGGCTATCTGCTCCCTGCCCAAGCAGAAATCTGGCATCCGCACCAACGAGGTCCTTTTCATCAACCTGGCTCTCTCCAACCTCATCACCAACTGCCTGGTGGACCTGCCCGACACCATAGCGGACTTCAACGGACGCTGGTTCCTGGGGGAGACCTTCTGCGGCGTCTTTCGCTTCAGCGCCGACCTCTCCGAGACCAGCAGCATCTTCACGACCTTCTTCATCAGCGCCTTCTGGCACCAGAAGCTGGTGGGCTCCCTGAAACGTGGAGGAGCTCCGGTGCAGCTGGACAACCTCCTGCTGGTGGGGTGTCTGCTGGCCGGGAGCTGGACGGTGGCGGTGGTCTTCAGCGTCCCGCACTTCTTCTTCGTCTCGGTGGAAGGGGGAAACGGGAGCGAAGACGACTGTTTAGACGTCTTCCCCAACCCTCTCGCCCAGCAAACGTATGAGGTCATTTATCTAACCGTGGCTAACGCTTTCCCCATCGCCGGGATTGTATTTGCGAGCGCCCAGATTGTCATCACTCTGTACCAGAACCAGAGACGTATACGGGGTCACGGCTCTGATCAAACCAAGGAGGCGGTCAGAGAGGAAAACAAGAGCCTCGAAAACAGAGACGACGAGAGATCAATCAGCACCGTTTCTGCTCCGGGGATCTCAAAAGATCTCGATCCTTCGTGTCCTTCAGATAAGAGTGCCCACATCGCTCCCTTCAACGGGGAAACAGAGAGCAGAGCTGGAGCCAAACCAAATGTTTCCAGGCCCAACCAGATGCCATCAAAGCCCAGTTCCAACACAAGCAGTCAGGTGAGGGCAGCCAAGAGTGTGGTAGCTGTAGCCAGCGTGGTGCTGGTCTGCTGGCTGACTCATTTGCTTCTGCGCATCACCAACAGCATCCACACTTCATCAATAGTAGTGGAGGTGGCCAGCTACATCGCAGCCTCCTACACTTGCATCATCCCTTACATATTCCTGCACGGAGTGAAAAAACTTTCTTGCAAGTGCAAAAGATAGAAATATGTACATCACGTCCAGTTCTTTCCCGTGGACTTGTGGTTATGTAAAATTAAGACAGCTTGTCCCCGATACATGTAGTTATTCCATCGTATCCACTCAGAATCCTGTCGTTAATTCTGCTGTCTGACACGTTATGTTCAACTGCCTCCATGTGAACTCATCTGCATGTGTTGCTACTGCACCAATAAAAACTAGATGTGAATTTGTCAGAGAAGGCCTTTTTTTGATGAGTCTTGCTGCGACTTAATGCCGACAAATCCCTACAATTGATCTGCTGATATGTGTTGCTGAAAGCTGACCGTGTGAAGTCACAACGCTCTGCTTTGCATGACATGAAAAAGCTGTCAAAAGTCATAGAGAAGAACATTCAGGAGTCTTTTTTTTTTTTTTTTTTGCCTTTATGTGACAGGACAGTAGAGAGAGAGACAGGAAAGTGGGGAGAAGAATGGGGAAAGGACCTGGAGCAAATGGCCATGGGCTGGATTCCCACGACCGCTGCATCAGGGACTACAGCCCCAGTACACGGGTCGCCAGCTCAACCAGTTTAGCTATAGCAGTGGCCCATCATGAGTCATTTTAAGCAAAAGTTGTCAAATGTTTTGAAGGTTTTGCATAGTCCAGAGTTATCATTAAACTTTTGGGAGGTTTTTAGGACCTCCTGAGTGTGTTATTGATAGCTGAAAACTAAAGGTGACAGGTTTTATTGACATGGGATCACCATTTCAGAAAGACCAATCTGTTGTTGTCAGACTTTGAAATATTGTATTGAAGCTTATTAAAATGAGTATCCTTGTTAAGATTTATATTCAATTTGCGAATTGTCTATTACAGGAACTACATCAGACATGACATAGTGTTGCTTTTACATTTTTTTCATTGATTTGATAAGTTCAGGGGCTGCAGGGTGGGTCGTGAATGTGAGTGTGCTTGGTTGTCTGTCTCTAAGTGTAGCCCTGTGATAGACTGGTGACCTGTCCAGGTGTCCCCTGCCTTCACCCAGAGTCAGCTGGGATAGACTCCAGCCCCCCATGACCCTAGTGAGGATTAAGGGGTGTATAGATGATGGATGGATGATAAGTTCAGTCCTTCACTTCCTACTAATAAAAACAGATCTCTAAAATAAACATTCAGAAAGTGAGCAAGTGTGAAATGTTTCTACAGTAAATAAGAAGGTTCCTGGTCACATAGTGGATTCTAAACGCACAAGTGTTGTCGATGAAGATGCTTAAAATCACAGTTAGGAATTTTAGGGGCTTGTTTCTTTCAATTTTTTTGCAATAATAGTATGTTGAGTTGGAGAATAGTTTATTGTTATGAACGTAAATAAGTAGCTGAAACTCTAAAGATGCAAAAGTTCGCTTGGTTTGATCCAAGTGGTGACAGTTTTACTCTTTAAACAGTATCCTGACTTTGCTTGAACTTTACTGGCTCACTTCATCGATGAGGAAAAATCCACCCATCCAACCTCGAGTCAAAATTGTTTTATTTTCCACGACGCTAAAAATGAAACATAATTGTTGTACTGGAGCGCACGGCTAATTAGAGACCTTTAGCAATTACTGCCTTGTTGGTGATAATGTTAAGAAAACCTGAGTGCTGCTTAAAATTAAAGATAATTAGGTAAACATTGCCACATTACCAACACTGCAATTTAATGCTCCTTTCTGCTGATAATTATTGGGAAAATTGCACACGAAGCTGTACCTTAACTAAAAACATCAGGCTGGCAGAGAACTAGTTGCTTCCGTGTAGTGTTTTTTTTTTTTCTCAAAACATTTTCATACACAAAAGTAAATGACAGGGTTTTATTTCTTTATAAAAATGTCTTTTTTACTTTGTTTTTCCAATGCAGGCCAGAATTTTCAGTGTCGCACTGTGAACAGCACCGTGTTAAAAATAGTTCTGTATTCAAAACAATCACAAAAGCACTCATACGCACGGTTTTACCACCCGAGTGGACGACATCGTCACTCTGAATGATGAGTGTGGCAGAACAGATGACATTATATACATAATTACATACAACATACAATGCTAAATTGTTTGGAGGCAAAAGCAGAACAATCAAAATCATTCCTCTGTGAAGAAGAAAAGGCTTTCAGAGTGATTTCATGTTGTTGTCTGTTTTTTTTTGGAACTCAATATCTTGCCTTTTTTTTTTTTTTTTAAACACCCGACTGCTATTTGCACACAATGCAAATAACTTTATTGTTAAAGTTGCATTTCAGCATGTTTAGACTAACAAAACGTATCAAATAAGTTATAAAACTTGTCTCTTCAGTCCCCCTCGTTGTTACCGGAGGATGTAACTGTCATCTGTTCCTTAACAACGAGCCCTTGCAGCACAGACTGAAGAGATAAAGAGGCGGCTACCTCTACTGTGGAGCACGAACATCATCATCATCATCATCATCGTCGTCGTGCTTCCTGACAATCACACTTTTAAATCAGCTGTTCGCTTAAGGCCAACAGTGCAAGATCCAGACGTCACCTGTCCCTTGTCCTGGTGAAGAATGTTATTAGCAGCGTCAGTGGAGTTTCTCCAGCTTCGCCTGCAGCGACTTGAAGTTGCCGATGGTTTGCTGAAGGGCCGCGTTCGGGCTCAGAGACTGCAGCTCCACGAGGTATCCGCAGATGTTGTCGAGGCACACGTTAGTGAAGCGGCGTCTGAAAAAGAAAACCGACTTTAATGCAGGTTTATGTTTCCAGTGAGAGTCTGTCTTACACTAGACGCTCTTTACTCGCTGGTTTCGGTTTAATACCGACTGTGGCTCCCTGCTGAGCTGTGGAGGCGTGGATAGCCATGCAAAGAGATAAATTTACACTAAAAAGGCCACAACTTTGGCAGCACTTGTTGGATATATATAGACACATGCATCACACTGTGTTCAGCTTCAGCCTTTTACGAGCAGCTCTGACCCACAGCAATCCGACATCACAGGGAGAAATTATCAAAACCCCAAACTAAACATCGAGCTTGGCCAAACATTAACAGGCATTTGGAGCTTAAGGCAAGGTTTTATTTGTTTGTCTATTGTGTCTCTGACTGCCTGCTGGTAGCTGGTGTTGGCAGCACACGAGTGATTGACAGATATGAACTGTTGCCTAGAAACAGCAAAAATGCATCTCACCAAAAAAAAAAAAAAAAGAAAAAATCCACATCCAAGTGTGAAAAAAAAAACAACAAGGCTGTATTAAAGTGTAATAGTTTTGCTGCTCTCACGGCAGATTCAAGGTGCAAGTGTTACATTTTCTGTTTTACATTTAGAGTGAAAGTCGCCTCCAAAAAGAGCGTTTCCACCTGTAGGAATGTTCTCTGTTCATCATGTCGTCCACGTTCTTTTTAAAGGATTTTATGGTTTGTGTTTACAGCAGTAGATAGAGTTTGTAGTTGTAGTGTTCATCTAAACCAGCTCACATTAACATGAGCAGATAGAGGACTCATTAACAGTTTGGCAACCCACACACACAGCCTTACTTGTCACATCTAGGCTCCTGCTAATGTCAACACTGCAGCACCCACTGCAGGCCAGCAGCTGAACAGACAGATTACCTGTCATATGTTGGTACTCTGCTGGGATCGTCCACGTATCCTGAGAGAAGCACGTGGATACACTCCACCAGATGGAGAGGTTTCTTCAGCCGCTGCCAGCAGGGATCCTACGAAAGGCAATAAGGCGTGTTAATGGATTAAATGAGACAGTTCAGTCCTATCTGACATGATTAAAGCACAACTCAGATGAACGTCTGAGAACGAAGCGTGTACCCGGGTCTTGAAGAGCTGGTCGTAGACCTCCAGAAGACGTGGTAGCTGTACTCCTATCTCCTGCATGGTGGACGTGACGAATCCCACGTCCCAGTTGAGTCGGCAAACCTCCTGCTCCAGGAACTTCACCAGGAACTCTGCGATCACAAGACGCCTGTGTCAGCACTTGTTAACACTGCATACTCTGCAACATATTCGCTGCTGGTGGGGGGCATAACCAATTACGTGCACACAGGCAAGGACCAAGATGTATATAAAATGAGTCAATTCACAGACAGGCTTGAACACGTCAGTTGTAAATGGAGGATAATTTCCACCTAGAGCACCTGCGTCACCCCACAGGCCTGTAACCCCAGAGACATAAATGATGCAAAAGGGAAGTCTAATTATATTACTGTTCGCTAAATTGCAAGCTGGAAAATTCTAACGAGTCTAAAAGTGAATATAATTACAGCCTACCCAGTGGAAAATATCTTGGCGTTCCAGCGTAACTCTTTCCCAGCGACACCAGCTTCAGATTGAGGGACCTCATCCTGTCAATTGGACTCATGGCCACGGAGTCTCCCAGTTCTGAAAGACAAAACTCATCATTGACACGTCATGCGCATCAATTTAGAGGAAGGACGCAAGCAAAGGTTGCTCCACTCACCTTTCTCCAGTATCTCCTGCCACAGCGAGTGCACCAGGATTGGGTCAGAGTGTCCTGCGCAGTGGATGATGGCCAGCTTGCACTCGGACAATTTGAAATGGTCGGCGAACTCTCCGTAGAGCTGCAAAAACGGACACAAAACCTACTGTTAAAACAACAGCCCTCATTCACTACATCTCATCAGCTGTTCATAAACCCCAGACGCTGTGTCATTCCGATGTTACCTTTGTGATGTCCATGAGCTCCGAGTCCAACAGAGAGATGACATTTTTCACTGAGGGGTGATGCGAGTACTGCCTGATCAGAGTTTCCTGAATCTGCACTTGGATGCGCACGAGCTAGAAGAGGGGGAACCAAACAAAGACAAACTGAGCGGTTGCTGATTTTTATGCCTGCATTTGTCTCACAGTGATCACCCAAAGGATAAGTACCTCCATTTTTTCCTCCAGCTCGTGAAGAAACTCTCCATCGGATGCCTGAGCTGTGATGCACGAGGAGCTCTTGGCAGACAGGATGGCTCGAGCAATGTACTCCAAACGCTGCTTCAGAGAGATCTCGGTGCTGCATAACCGGGAAACAAAC